ACCTGCGCTTGCTGCCAGGTGGCCCACAGGCAACAAAGCCAAGAAGTAGAAAAACGAACTTGAAGGTTTGAGACACAACCTGTGAAGCAGGAGCGACGGAGCGAGACACGTGCACCCAAAGCCCTTCAATCATCATCCTCTCAAGCAACTCGTTTGATTGTCAGTCGCCACTGAGTTCCCACACTCCCATGGCAAACGATAAGGAAAGGGCAAACGCAAATTGCAGGCAAGTATTGCTTGAAACTGCAGCTTGGGTTTCTTGTGAACGCGTTCGATTTTCAAGAGTCTTTGAAGGAAACCCAACATGAGAAAACTTTCCGAGCAACCCTCGGTCTCTTTGGCAAACACTTGCATATTGGATTCTTCGCTTGCTTCTCGCTTTGAACCTAATCTGATTGGCCATTCCAAAGCAAAAAGAGCTTTGATGTGGTGTCGGGAACCTCCAACACCAATGACAAGCCTAGCTAGCTGCCTGAAGAGTACCATCCAGACATATGCCGACGAAACAATGTCTTTTTCGAGCGCCATTGCTTGAGGCATTGAGGCTTGTGAGTGCGATGTCTGGCAAATCTTCCAGGTACCCTTGGATCTTACTTGCTCGTTGAGACATGTTCAACACGTTTGGCAAATCTGCCATTCCAACCACAAAGTTCAATTTGGTACATTACCTTCCTATAACCTTCATTTAATGGATTGATGCAGCGACGGGCATTGAAACTGATTGGAATGTAACGTATGGAAAGACCTGCACGATCAAATTTGGAAAAACACACGGAACAAAGGACGCTTAAGCTCGACAACCGTTTTAACACCGGCCCAAGAAACTTCATACCTCTTCGGCCTCTTCGTGTCTATGCTGATGGGTTGCCTACACCTGCACAAAGTATCTGGAAGCTATTTGCTGGGGTGCAAGCGTCACTATGTACAGATTTAAGTTGTGGCACTGTTCACAACAGTAGAGCTGTCGTCAAATGCCACCTCAGGGATACTCGATACCATAGTTCCTGTCAGGAAGCCAGCGCATTCTTCTATGCTTAATAATTCTGGCTTGCTGGACGGTGGGAGGGTCTATGCTAGTCTCCCACAGTTGGCAATTTTATGTTGACCTAGCAACTCACAGTATTCCATAAGTCGTTGAACCGGCATTCAAGAGGCGACACGGCCAGCAACAATGAAGTTTTCAACTGAACTCGGTTGACTTCTGTTCACTGTAATTGCTGAACAACTGATATCGTGAAAGTCCTCATTGGAGGCATAATGAAAATCAACCCATCGAGCGTTTGTCCAAAAGATGAGGACTGTTCGACAGGTCTAGTACGGTCTATTTTCTTCGAATGACTCAATGACTGCTGTATGGCTGTATCTGTATAATACATTGTCAGAAAATTCCGTCATCAATGAAGCACCTACAGTAATAGGGGGTGCCTTATGTCACCTTGTCGGCCATCCAAGTGCATTGGCCACGCCAACAACATTTCCACGTACCTGCAAATCGCCACAATACTATCGTTATTGGATGATTCTCTTTGGCTGACAAATAGAGCAGCGTCAGTGCGAATCATCTGCAAATTGTCTTACATTCATTTGGAAAACGAACTCGACCCTTCGCGCACTCCATCTGCTCCATCAATGCGTCCTTCCATTTTTGGGCTTCTGCCTGTGCAGAGCGCAAGCTAGCCAATTAATCTCAAACCTCAGAGAGCTCAAACGGATGTGACACGCGAAGAGCATGAGCAATCAAAGCATGAGTAAAGGTACGCTCCTGGGCACCTAGTAGCGATGCCCTTTGTTCCTAGTAGCTTTTTGCTCCTATTAGTACGGCCAGGAGCCCCTAGTAGCGTCCTTGCTCCTAGGAAGAGAAATAGTTCTGGCACAAATGCCCGCAGTTGTCGGCGCCTCACTGGGAGCCCGGAGAATCACTCTCTCGCCAACGGCCTCGTGATCTCCACATGCTGCTTCCACATCAATTCCAGCACTTGTTCCACATCACTTTGACCGGTGAATGAATTTGGATGGACACTTCCTGGAATCTATTACGTTGGAGGCCATCGCTATTAGGTTGGAGGCCATTGCCATGAGTAACTCAAAAAAATATGTGTATTGTGTGTGTTTTTACATTACATTAACCTTTTCCAAACGCCTCTTTCCAGTACAGGAGAACCCAGCTGTGTGGAGAGGTATGCTACTGCACATTGACTCCACCAGAGATTGACTCCAAACGCTGATTCAACCATCGCCTTTGAACCATGATGGTTGTCACGGCTCTCACATCGCATCTCCAAGTCCGTGCCCTGGCGCAGCACAAGCAAAGATTGGATTAGGGGAAAGAGCAGTCCCTAAGGGCCCTTGACAGAACATGCTTGCATGAAGCATTTGCAGCTTGGGGAGAAAACGCTTGACATAATATTTGTGCGGGTGCTGACCAAATACAGGAGATCTTTGTGTCCACTTCGTCTCAACATTGTAGACTCCAATTGCAAGGCGTGTATATATATATATAACTGATGTGAACACATGGTGCATTGAAAAAACAACATAACTATCACATGTTATCACCAATAACAACTTCCATTGACCTCCTAACATCTTGAATTTGGCCCTCTCGGTGCCTCGTGGCGCGCCAACACCCAGCGTGTCAGGCCGTCGGAGAGGCGATACTGCAAGAGCTCATCAAAATGCTGGCCATGATGGCTAGAGAAATGCCCTTTGTTTCTAGTAGCTTCTTGCTCCTAGTAGTACGGCCAGGAGCCCCTAGTAGCGTCCTTGCTCCTAGTAGCGAGGCCAAGAGCCCCTAGTAGCTTCTTAGAGTCTAGGCCAAGTAAAATCAAAGCGACATAAAGGGTGTAATCATGCAACGTATAAACAAGGCATAACAAGGCTAATTACAAACGTACAAGTTTGTGTATAGATGTGTGGGGGGAAAAACGATACAATCCGGTAGTCGTCTGATACACACGGATATGTAAAAGGCTGTGAAAGGTGTCAACCACTGCTGTCGCACTTCGAAGATGGTTGAAGCTTGCACCTCCACATCCGGTAAGCCTTCTGCCGCCTACGCTTCGCCATTGAGAACAATGAACATTCAACATCCAGTTCCATGATCCGTGCACGACTGTTTGCACTGCTGCTTCCCCGATTGCCTTCCTCCACCATTGAAGCTTACCTCCTGTCAGCTTGACATGTCGTTTAGCCTCAGTGGCAGCCAGTAGACGAAAGACTAACCTTTGACCCAAATTAAGAACTTTCACCGAGCTAATGTCGAGTCCAACACTGAGAGTATGGCCCACCACCAGCCCCAACCAGACTTCAGCTTTAGTGGCCCAGACCTGGGAAGCTGTGGCGAAGCATGTAGAAAGATTAGCAATCATTTGAAGCCTAGATTAGTTTTGGGTAACATGTCATCACACATAGACAACAAAGGATAACAAAGGTTCTTAAATGAGTCCAATTCAACTAGCAACCAACTAGCAACTAGATGCGTCGCTGGTGCGAAGATTTCCGTTTTACAATTCATGGACGTATGTGTTTTGAGTCCACCTCTCAACATTTCCAACTGAGCACACCACATTCGAGGCTCTGTGGATGCTTGACCTTTGTGGCCAGCTACTTGAAATCTAAGGCCAGTGAAGACTACTGTATTTTAAGAAAAACTTTGCGGTGAAGACGAATTGCATAATAAAACATGCCTGAAAAACCTTTCTGGAGGCCGCATTCCACCTTCTAGGGTGAGGGCCTATGGGTCTCCCAATACTTTTGCAACATTGGTTTTATTGTGCTCAATCAATTGGACATACAAACAACTCCTAAGTGTATTGAAACAGCTCTGGTCCGAGGCAAATTAGGAGAAAACAACAAGCAAAGTTGTCTGACAAACATTGACAAACAACTGAAGAAGCACCCCAATTAAGCACGCATCCATGTTGCTTTCCTTTGGAGAATTGCTCTGATTCACCCTTTTCCCGGACTCAACTGCATCCCAGCCTGGACGCGAAGACCTTGAGACTCGAGATCTCTCAGAGACATTGGATGCTAGGTTGAACAAACTGCTCATGAGTTGTGTTGAACAATTGCAACCTCGTCAAGCTCACCAAAGAGGTGTCAGGACCATATACGACCATTGGACAACAACTGCATATCAGCGTGCTCCATCGACATCATTGTGAGTGTGTGAAACATTTTGCTTTAACCAAAGCAAGCCCACTCATCCTCTGCGTAAACAAAATTGATGGCCGCTTAGCAGCAAAAATGGTTGCACGGACTCAGTGCCCAACCTTGTTGAGATGACGGACTCAGATGGTCTCGCTTCCTAGATTGAGAATAATCAACATGCTTCCCGTTCAAAGAGAGGCAACGGAGTTAAATCACAAGACTGAATGGAAAGTTTATCAACATGCGAAGGACCGACAAAAAGAGCCTCGGTCAAGAAAGGGGAATCTGCTCGAGGTCTGCTTGAAGCTGGCTCGCCCTGTACAACCTTATCCATTTCACATGCGCTTTGCAGCTGCAAGTCTGTGACAACAACCGGGCATGCCTCCTTGGCAAGCCGCTCCTCTTCCGCTTTCTTTGTATTGGCTGCTGCTTCTTTGGCACGTCCCTCCTCTTCCACCTTCTTGGCTTCGGCCGCTGCCTCCTTGGCAAGCCGCTCCTCTTCCACTTTCTTTGTATTGGCTGCCGCTTCTCTGGCACATCGCTCGTCTTCCACTTTCTTGGCTTCGGCCGCCGCCTCTGTGGCAAGCCGCTCCTCTTCTGCTTTCTTTGCATTGGCTGCCGCTTCTTTGGCAAGCCGCTCCTCTTC